AACAGAGAAGGGCAGAGGCCGCTGCTGCTCTTGCCGATTCCCAGAGCTGACTACCAGGCCAGGCCATTTAAGGAAGCGCAAAATAAAATTAGAAACTCTAACTTCTAACTATACATAGAACCAGCAACTACAGGAAAACACACACTTTGGAAGCATGCAGTGGAAGAACCCGGAAGCAGTCCCTTGCTCGTTCCTCAGCTGGCCAATGAAGCCCTAACAACTTTAACTTTTAATATGTTCCAAAGGTGGGAGGGAAGCAGAGACACCTCTTTTATTACCATCAAACTTGTCATTAGCAAATTCCTGGGATGATCAGGGATACCCGAATCAAGTGCTTATAAAATTTTACTAGGCCCTTTTAAATTGCAATGGACATTGTTTTTCTGCCACTCTTATTTTTTTCCCTTCCATTACAGTAATACACATTTTTTTTTTTTTTTTAGACAGGGTTTTTCTGTGTTGCTTTGGAACCTATCCTGGCAATTGCTCTGGAGACCAGGCTGGCCTTGAACTCACAGAGCTTTGCCTGAGTCTGCCTTGAGAGTGCTGGGATTAATGGTGTGTGCCACTATCACCCAGCCTGTTTATTTTTTGAGACAGGGTCTAACTATGTGGCCCTGGCTGTCCTGGAACTCACTATATACAGACCAGGGTGGCCTAGAACTCAGAGATCCATCTGCCTGCCTCAGCCTCCTGAATGCTGGGATTAAAGGTATGTGTCAACATTTCACACTACAAGCCCCCCCCCCCCAAGACAGGCTAGCCTGAATTCAAGATTTTCTGCCTTGGCTTGGGACTTCCAAGAAGGCAAGAGCACCATGGATCCCAGCTGCACCTGGATTTGTCTATTTTGTTGTGGTTGTTGACAGGGTCCACCTGTCTCTGTCCAGAGTGCTGGGATTAAAGGCGTGGGCCAACACACCAACACAACGATGCACCTGGCTCTTTAAGGGCACTAGCAGTGACATGTGCTGGCACCTTCCTTCGGAGCTAGGAAACTGTGGGTTGTAAGAAACAGTGAGGCCCATCTGCCTGCCCGGAGTTACCCCCCCACACACACACCCCCACACACAGTGTGGAGAGGAAAGTAAAGAACAGCACAGGGGACAGAAGTGTGCCTTCGCAGGTGCCCCAGCAACCCCTGCATGTCCATGGCTGTGGCCCATCACTCACAGGCCAGGCACCTCACTTTCCACAGATTTACAGCAAGAACAAAGTTCCAGAAAAGAAAGGTGGTGGCCATATCCCAGTGGGGACTCCCATGTTGAAATCTTCCTCCTCTTGGCTACTGTCTAAGTAGGCCTATCAGAGCCGACCCTGGGAGTAATGCTGTTGCAGAGACAGGGACTGACCAGGGCTTATTTGCCAATCTGAGGCAGATTCTTATATAGGAACAGCTGAGTCAGGCCAGTTCTGGGACCTTTGTGTCCCTGAGCTGTTAGCTTCCCTCTGAGGTTTAAGACAGGGCAATATCTGTCCTCATGGTCACTTGTATTTAAGGGAACACGAACCTTTCAAGACACCCTGCTGCTTCCTGCATGGGAGGAGCCACATCTCAGGGATGTCACAGACGACTGAAGCTGTGTCCTGAGGGGCCAGGTAAGGGAGCACCCTCATCTGGTCTGACCCATCCACTCAAGGGCAAGCACTCTGAGGTTCCCATGTGCAGAGACTTGTCTGGGGACCAGGGAGGACAGTCCCCAGTGAGACTGCAAAGACCACCACAGCAAGGGAAGCCCCAGGCCCCCACCACACAAGTTCACAGTAGTACAAAAGCTTCCTGTTTCACAAAAAGGGCTTTCAGGGCAGTGTCAGAGTTGCACAATCCCATGATCACTGTGCTGAAAACCAACCTTTTGGGGGCAATGTGCGGGCTAATGACCTTGGATTTGGCCGTCACTGAAATCCCCTGAAGCAGGCACTGCTGTCATGGCTGGGCATGCTCCTGGCAGCCACCTGGTGAAGCAGCCTTTCTGCCCCGAACCAAAGGCTTAGAAACCATGGAGGGAAACCTCTGGAGCTGTGAGCTGAAATGAGCCTTTCCTCTTTTAAAATTCACTGTCTTAGGTATTCTTTCCCAGTAATGCAAAGCTAATGAAAACGGTCCTCATTCACCTCCTGTTCTTTGTTGTTTGTTTGTTTGTTTGTTTGGAGACTTGGTCTCATCATGAAGCCAAGGCTGACCTCAAATCTGAGAAGCTCCTGCCTCAGTCTTCTGGAATGAGTGGTGTGTGCTACTTCACCAGGCCTGGCCAGACACTCACTCTTAGCAGGTATCACGATGAGTCGCCAAGTCTCCCTCCTCCGCGCAACCAGCTGTGTAAGTGGCTTCCTGGGCATTCTAGGCTGAGTGAAGGAGACACACAGCCCTGTGGCCCTCCACCCTCTGCTGGGTTCTCCTTTCCAGACTGTCTGAGAGCTTCCCATGGGGCACCGGAAACTCACCGACCAAGAGTGGCTCACCCCAGCCTTTCCAGCCCCAGCCCGTCTGTCTTTGAAATCAAACCCAGGAAAAGATCTGTTCATTCAAATGCCTTTCCCTACATTCCAGCAAAGAGCTGATATAGGAAGAAAGAATTCTGCCTTGGGAAAACCGAGG